ACTGAGAATCATAAGTGTTGGTGGTGGTTACAAATTATTTGGTTTTCTGTAACCATTAAATTGGTTAATCTGTGGTCAATAAATAATATGGGACCAATGAAAAATATAAATTGTGATCGAAAAATAATGTGTGACCTAAAAAATTTGATCAATAATTTGATAATTTGTGATTGTGTAATAAGTTGTGACTTGTAATATATGTGATTTGTGACCAATAAATAAATCGCAATTTATAAATTTTTCGATTTGTGACCGATGAATAAACTGTGACCTATAAAATTTTTGAATTGTGACCGCAAAATAATTTGTGAAATAAAATTTCTGATTTGTAACCAAAAAATAATAATTGACGAATTAAATCGTTAATTTATGACCAAATTATATAAATCTGTGACTTAAATATATTTAACTACTAAAATAATTAATTAGTTAATTAATTTATAAATAATTTTTAATAAAATCTGATTTTTTATATTTGAAACTTGTTTTTTTTTTGTTTTTGAAATGTGCATAAATCATAATTAAAAAGTTTATTGAATAATAAAAAATACGAAAATATGATAGTTCGATAAAGTGAAAAATAATTTAAGAATAATAGTCCAAAAAACCAAGGCAATCACTAAAATGCATAGAAAAATCAAGGCAAATGGGCACACACTTTACACATGAGACTTTTAGACAATATTAGCCATTATTTTTAAAATAAATATTTCTATCTCTTCTTTTCAACCATATATTTTTTAATAAAATAATATTACACGTAAAAAAAATTTTAATTTTTTAACTGCACATTATCTATAAATTTACTATTCTAAAATGCATTCTTTGCTAAAAAATAGGGCTCAAAAAGACATTATGCGGATATATGTTTTGTTGACCTCGATTTTTTTTGGTCAGCGTGGTCAATAAATCTCGATTTCATTCTTGTAAATGTGTCAAACTCCTGCATACTTGGACATGTCGTTAAGTGCGTGTGTCCTTCTCTAGTAGTGGGTTATACGATCACGGACACTACGATATCAAGTTAGTCAACTATATGGATATATTTGGACGTAGGATGGACTCACATGTGTACAATAATCAAATTTTAAGAGAAATAATATTACCAAGCTAAGTCAATGTGGAGGGTGTAAATTAGTATCACATGTAAATCACATGATACCAATTGTGAGCTTTATATTAGAAAATGAGATATCAATATCATTGGATGAATGATAAATGTTCTCGTCTTGGTGATCGATGCATCAGCCTCACAATCGTCACCTCTAATGTCCTATGGTTGAAGTGAATTAGATGATCTTAAAAGTGGTCACCTTATAGTCTAGATCTATCATCTAAAAAGTAGGCTGAAAAGTTCATTTAGAAACGTCTGTGCAGAGATGTCAAATCAATCGATAATCAATTGTACAAAAATTCTTGTATGAAAGATCTTTTGAACGAAGCAATGGAAGATGCCTTTTGGAACGAAAGGCACTTTACTTTGAAAATGTGTTGCAACAGTGCGTGGCGCTTCGTTTCGGACATGGAGGTTATATAGCTGAGGGACAGTTCACTTCCCTTCCCCCTTTCTTGATAGTCTCAGTTAATTAGGCCATGTAAGCAAAGTGATTTGGAGTCCGACCCTTAAGTGACCTTTTGTTTTTTCCTAAATGAATTCCACACAGTAAATAAAAAGAGTTTCGTAGGATGAGGCATAGCATGTTTACTTTCCCTTCCCTCTTGATTTGGACAATATTAAAGGTTGAACTCCAACCTTGAGGGCCTCCACCGTCCCACTCTTGGAGTATCGTGAGAGAGATAAATTTCGGAATGTGCCCCAACAGGTCAGGGAATAAGAGCTTGTCCGTACACTGGTGCTCACAAAGAGTCTAATTCCGTATCTCAGGAATCGAACCCTCACACTGTTGCTGCCAACAAGGTTGAGACTATCTCACTCCTATTTTTTACACCACTGGATTATATCCCGAGGGGTGATTTGGGCAATATTAGTTTGTGTTGAGGTGTTGTTAGTTTGATAATATGCTATCAAATACTCTTCTGCTTGTGGTAAATCAAAAGATAACCTCTCACACTCGATTAAAGAATAAATTAAAAAAATGATAAGTTCTATAAAATGACATCACAAATTCCACCCCAAGAAATCATACTTTGGGATATAACGGCTCGTCGATAATTGATCGTATGTGTACTAACCAGGCTATGTAAAATAAGTAACTTAAAGAAAATGAATCAGCAAAACCAGCTCTTAATGATTCTGGGCAGGGAGTAAGCTAATAGAGGTGGCCATGGACCTGTCTTGTAAGTTCAAATTAAGGATAGAAAGGTGAGACGAGAATGACCCAACTTATTGCGAACTTAACGAGTTTGGATAAAATAAAATCAAATTTTTAATAAAAATGATAAAATGTATGATTGAGAAGTTGATTATAGTTATAGTCTTATAGATTTCATAAAATGTATAAGATTTGAGAAAAAAAGGGTCAAAACATGGGCTAGATGTAAATGTGAACTAACATCTACACTCCACGTTTGAAGGATTCATACAATATTCGAAACATTTTAATGTAAAATCTGAAATGCATGGCAAACTTGTTATAGTCCGTGTTTTTAATGTTTCTTAATCGATTCATTTTTCTTCCTCTCCTTTTTTTATTTCCGTTCATTGGAGAAAAGTTCGGACGGACAAATAAAGAAGCAGCTGCCCGAAGAGGGACGCTATCAAGTCAATTGAGACGCAAGTTGAGCCGTCTGGACACAGAAATGAACAAACACTAAGAGGCAAAAGATTCAAGAAAAATATCGACCAAGAAAGCGTGTGATTAAATTTTAATTCTTAAAATCAATTGGGGGATTTGTGATTCAGTCAACATCCTATTTCCTTGAGAATACTGATAAAATAATTGGTCCCCTTTTGTCTATGTTCCTTGAATTTGTATGTCAGGTCGTAACTCCCATGTCTCTTCTATTTGTTTTCCAACCCCCTCAGGCCCCCACCTACTTGATTTATGGTAGTGTTTGTCCATATGTGGAATTTTTATTGAATTAGGCTGGCCCCACACCTACTTGATTTATGGTACTCTTTGTCCATATGTGGAATTTTTATTGAATTAGGTTGGTGTGGATAGCCCCTCGCATGTGAAAGGATTGTATACCACATTAAAAAAAAAAAAAAAAAGGTTGAACTCCGATTTTGAAGGTCTTTATCATCCGGCCCCTAGAGTTTTGTGAGGGAGGTAAATCGCGGGATGTGTCTCAACAGGTCAGGGAACAACAGCTGCATATACATCGCGCCTACAAGGAATCTAATTTCATGTCTCAGGAATCGAATCCCCATACTGCGGCTGTCAGCATTGTACAACACAATTTCGACTGTAGGAGAGGGAGGGAAGCTTGGATTTTAAACCACAATTTCGACTTATCCGATAAGATAAAAATATTAATATTAATATTTTTTATTTTTATCATTATTTAAAGGGTGCTGTACAAACACTCTTTAAATAGAAGAGGTAGGGAAGCTTGGATTTTAAACCACAATTTCGACTTATCCGATAATGATAAAAATAAAAATATTAATATTAATATTAATCAAATGCAATCAAGTATGGACTAGTTCCATTGTAATAGACGTAGAGGACTCTTTGCGTGTTACTATCCATTCATTCGTCATTACTTCTGGATGAATTAATAGTTTGGTTAAATAAGGAAAATATTAATTGATAATGGACTCTTAAGAAGCTATAGCTACTTTCTTTTTACATATTGTCTTTTCAAGAAATTGGACGATTTCGTTCTTGATAATTTGAGTTTTTAAAGAATAGAATTAAGCATAATATCATTTTCTTGTTATAAAAATTGTGTAGATCTTTGATACAAATAATAATAACAACGACGATAATAGTAGCATAAGCAGCAGCAGTAGTAGTAATAATAATAATAATAATAATAGAGGAGGTCGTGTGGATGATGAAATTTAAATAAATGAACTTATCTTTCTATGATAAGTCCATGTTTAATTTACTTTTAGAAAATTAATAAAAAATTAAATTAAAGTCAAAAATTAATTTTAACAAGTCCAAACTTTATCAAAACCAAATAAAAATGTAATAACAAAACCGAACAGGAACTAACTCGAAATCTTAAATAGTTAGTTGGACAAAGTTTGAAAAAATTGTAAGTTATATAAATATTAATTTACATAGTTTTTCTTCCTTTTGTAAGAGAATTTTCTAATAAAGATATTTTCGTAGAAGAAATGGAATCTAACAAAAATATGTGATTGAAAATAAGTGATCTTACTTTTTCAGATAAATTAATTTCTATTGCCATTCACCAATTCGATGTTCAATCATGCTTGATGTATAATGATTTTGACAACATTATTGACAATATGCCACATTGGACAATTTTAAAAATAATTCATCTTTTCGACCAATATTTTTTTGACAACTTCAACACCGTCAATAATATTGTACAAAATAATTGTATAAATAGACTTGTCCTTCGATGTTTACAAGTCATGCCTGAGTGTAATTAAACTATTAGCCCAAATATCTATTTATTCATCTTTTATCACTTAACATACACATCAAACGACAATTTTTTCATAAATACGTGTAGACATTTTTAAGTGGGGGCTTGACCCCAATAGAATAAGTTAAATTGGGCACCTATTATAATTAATAATCATTTTTTACGACACATTCTCACAATAAAATAATTTTGCAATAAATTCATAATTTTTTTTCTTTTTTTTCGTTTTAATCGCACATTATTCAAATTTTACTTTTAAAGAAAAAAAATTACATCAAAACAATCTAAATAAAATAGGTTTAAAAGGCATATTAAGTCTTTGTTTGGTTTGAATTAAAACCAGATTTTTTTAATAGATTTTGATAAATGTTTAATTGAAAAATTGTGTAAAAAAAGGTTAAAATATTGTAAGAGTGTATACAAAGCAAGCATGCAGTCTCATTACGCACATTCCTGTCTGTATATATAGAAGAGCCTCGTCCAGTTTAGGGACAGAAAACAGAGTCCAGACAATCAGAAAGTATGTTTAGTTTTAAGCACCAAATGGCTGAATTTCTTTTACAAAATCCATTTATATTCACTTTTATCAGTATATTTCTTGTATGGCAATTCGTCAAAAGGGTGGCGGCCACTACAAACAGCAAAAATCTGCCGCCATCGCCGCCGAAACTCCCGATTATCGGAAATCTCCACCAAATCGGCACGCTCCCACACCATTCCCTTCAATCCATGTCCAAAAAATACGGCCCGTTAATGCTTCTCCACTTTGGAAATGTTCCGACGCTTATCGTTTCATCGGCGGACGCCGCCAGGGAAATTATGAAAACCCATGATGTCATTTTCGCTGACAGGCCTGACTCTAGCGTTTCCAGGCGGCTTCTTTACGACATGAAGGATTTGTCAGTTGCTCCATATGGAGAATACTGGAGGCAATTGAAAAGCATATTTGTACTCCAGCTTCTGAGTAACAAACGGGTACTGTTACAATTCCCGTGCCCCTTTTAGAGCATGATTGACCCTTGCTCCTTTTGTACAAGAAGCTGTTTATTTCGGCAATACCACTCTTGATACTGCCGGAAATAAGCAAAAACGACGTTATTCTAGGCCAAAGATGCTCAACAGTGCATCAAAACTGAGAGTACTTAAAAAGCGTTTAGAATTGCTTGGAGTGACTTGATAAGATTTTCTAACAGTGCATTTCTGTCCATAACAGGTACAATCATTCCATGCTATAAGGGAAGAAGAAACGGCCTTGATGATGGAAAAAATTAAGGAATCGTGTCTATCTTCATCGCCATTGAATATGAGTGATTTGTTTACGGCAATCACAAACGACGTTGTTTGTAGGTCGGCTTTCGGTAGGAAATACAGGGACGGGGCGACAGGGGAGAAATTTCTGCAGCTGATTACTGAATTTTTGGGACTTTTGGGGACTATCAGTGTTGGGGAATTCATTCCATGGCTGGCGTGGATTAATCGTGTTAATGGTTTCGATGCCAGAGTAGATTTTGTTGCTAAAGAACTAGATGAGTTTCTTGAAGGAGTGATTCAAGAACACTGGGATATGGAAAATTCAAGCGGAAAGGATGAAAGTAAAGAGAATTTTGTAGATATTCTGCTTAAGATTTACCAGGACAATGCCACTGGTGTATCCATTGATAGAGATGGTATCAAAGCCATAATTTTGGTAAGCACCCCTCCCTCCCGTATAACTGTAATAAAATTGAACAACTTCATTTAAAAGCTAAAACTGTCATTGAAAGAAACATATACATACAAGTTTCTCGTGCTTAAGACCCTCAGAGGTTTGACACGAGCATAGCTTCCTAGGTGGTAATAGACTTTGAAGTCAAGACTTCCGTCTACTTCGATCGAATCATTTCGTCCGAAATAAGTGACTATTAATTTTCTTAGCCTTAAGTTTTTTAACTTTCTGGATTATTTCAGGATGTGTTTGCTGCTGGAACTGATACCACATCCACAGTTCTAGAGTGGGCAATGACAGAACTCTTAAGGCACCCAATAGTCATGAAAAAGTTGCAAAATGAGGTGAGGGGAGTTCTCAATGGCAAACATGACATAACAGATGCCGACTTGGAGAAAATGCATTATTTGAAAGCTGTAGTGAAGGAAACTCTAAGATTTCACACCCCAATCCCACTACTGGTTCCTCGGGAAGCAAGAGAAGATGTCAAGGTAATGGGCTATGACATTGCAGCAGGTACAATGGTCATGACCAATGCATGGGCCATTGGCCAAGACCCTCTTTACTGGAAAGAACCACAGAAGTTTCAGCCGGAGAGATTCTTAAATTCGTCCATAGATTTCAAAGGACTTGATTTCCAGTTGATTCCGTTTGGGGCTGGTCGAAGAGGTTGTCCAGGAATCTCATTCGCTATGGCAACTAACGAACTTGTTCTGGCAAATATTGTTCAGAAATTTGACTGGGAATTGCCTAATGGAGCAAAAGGAGAGGATTTGGATATGAGTGAACGCCCAGGTGTTTCAATCCATAGAAAAGTTCCTCTTTTTGCTGTTGCAACTCAATGCTATCTCTAATCCATATGAGTTTCATGCAGCGTGATGGAAACAACAATTTCTACCATAAACTAAACATTCATAATTCTTTATGCTTTTTAAACAACCCCGCACGCACTCGCACAAGTAACAAATTGGGGAACCATCGTTTTTATGCTGGGATTGTATATTTGTATCGTATCGTGGTGTATTATAGTTTACAAGTAAAAAATAATATTGTGTTTGGTTCTTCAATTAGGACAATGTAAACACTTTTACTCCATCATTACTTAATACTACATCTAAAATTTATGAAATATATAATTCATCGGAATAGACTTATATATTATGCAAATTAACATGCATACGGTTATAAAATTAACTACTTGTCGAATGCCATTGCAAAGCAACCGTGATAATAGTTGTTGTCGATTTTATCCCGCAAGTGGACAGATCGTAACAAGTAGTAAAGTGAATTTTTTAAATCCGAATTATCGTTTCCACGAGAACTATACTTTAGTACTCAATTTATTATTCCTAATTCCTATTTGATGAATATAAAAAAATAAAAAATAAATAAATTTGATTGACTGTAATTTTTAAATCTAAATACTAAAAATTTGGTGAATGCAACAAAAATGAGTGAGAATTCAAACAATAAATGGAGATTAGAGCAGAACAACTTCACATATTGGTCACCTTTATTTCTAATATCGAGATTCATAAAATTAAAATAGTGTTCGGTCGAATTCTTTTATTGTATTCAACTTACCCCTCTCGAGTTCTCGTTGAACCTATTTAATTAGTTCAATTTCATATCTTTATGCAAATTAAATTTAATTAAACGAAACATTGGTTCTAAGAATTCACACACGACCGCAGCAATAATATAGGTATCTCTACATGTTATATTAATTTACCGAATTTTAATTTATGGTCTAAACAAGAATCTGCATCTCTACGTAACTATTGTTCACGAAATCAGTGAATAATTGGCCAGAAAATTCAAAGCATTAAAAAAATAATTAAAATTCACACATAAAATATAAAAGAACAATAATCTCAAATAAAAGAAATAAAGGTCTCAAATCAGTTACATTGTTCGCCCTAAAATTAAATTTAGCTACGCATATTAATAGAGGAAAACACAAGAAATATGGAAGACATCACTAGATTAATTGACGGAACGTAAATAATTTGCAAAAATGAATCATCCGTCTTTTGTCGTGTATGTGCGTTCAAATTCTGCCTCCTTTTTTACCTCCCTAAAGTTGCCGCCAATGTGTGCATGTATCAGCTCCTTTATATATCAGCTCCTTCAATAGCAAGCAGCTTTATTAATTCCTCCCAACTGCTCCAATTTTCTATTCGTGTCTTTTTCTCCCAACAGAAGTTGCCAATCACATGTATATATATTTAACAGGAAATTATCAAAATAGTCAACTTTTTCGTTTGTATTTACAAAAATGTCACTTATTTTTTGACATTGCAAAAATGTCAATTGTAGAGAATTTTAGACATATTTGGCTTTAAAGCTAAATATAAATACCCAACATATCCTAATGAAATTTTGATTTGACCAATCAAACAAATTGTACAAAACTATGAGAGATTGTCAGATGAAATTGAATTATTGAAGAAAAAGAAAAAAATGCAAGCTCTATTTCGCCCCCTGACCCCCCCATTTGAAGAAGAGAAATCCTGTGAAGAAAACTGAATCCCTAAAATTCCTAAAATTCAGTCCTCTCTCTCGCGAAGTGGACGACCGCTGGCGAACCCTTATGCCTTGAACGAAAGGAAGAGAAATCGAAATCCGTAAATCTGTAAAAGTCACTCGTCGCTGTGACGAAAGCGACCACCGACGGCGACCCAAAATGTCGTGAAGGAAAGGAAGACGAAACGAAGTCCCTAAATCCCTGAAAGTCGGTCCTCTCTGTGACGAAATCCACCACCGCTGACAAACTCCTCTCCCTCATCGAAGTTCGTAAATCCCTGAAAGTCGATCCTCTCTGTCCGCCACCGACTGTCGAGCATTACCTGTACGTAAGTGAATCTGATTTCTGTGGTTGCATTTGTTGTCTTTGCCGTTTTTGAAATTAATTTATTGGGTTTTCATTTTGGTGTTTATTTGTGTGTGTGTTTAGATGTGTTTGTTTATGAGTGTATACTTTTTTGTGGATTGAAGTTGGAGATGAAAATTGAAATTGAAAAGATGCATTGTTCTGAATGTGTTTGTTTATTTGTGTGTGTTTTTAGATGTGATTGTGCATGTGTTCATAACTTGTATGATCCTCTATATACTCCATTGTTTGAAATTTGTTTCAACACTTGCTGCTGGATTATCACCACTAGAGCCTGCAGATTTCGATTTCGATGTCATTGATGGCATTCCAGCCATGAGCTTTCTCTTCTTGTAGTTTACCTTAAAACACACTTGCCTCAGTCTCTTAGTTTTGTCTGCCAATTGCAAATCAGGAACCTCTTCCATCAACTTCCTCTCTTACTCTAAAATTTGTATTACATCTCTCAACTTCCCTTCTCCTTCCTCCTGCCCTAACTCCTGTAAAACCCGTAAAGCGAGTAACTTAAATACTTTGTAATAAGTTCGGTATCATAGGCTTGACAGTAAACAGTATATACATACCTAGACATTCTTGATTAGGGTTTGTAGACTCGTCAACTTCCTGTGTGGCCACCTTCTAATTCCTAATTCTCTACACCTTTTATTCAAAAGGGTTAATCCCACATTAAGTTCCCTTGCTGCTTTTGTAATTGGCATGTAAAAATATTGAGAAATTGTTTCTTTTGATAAGATTTTGCAATTACTTGTATGGGTTTTTACTTACCTATGTCTTTTAACTCTCTTCATATCCTGCACATGCTCTTCTACAGTTATATCTTTATTAGTATTCTCCAATAGTAACTGCTGATTCCCAGTTTCAAACCTTCCCATCGCACTTCCATAATCGCAGAAGAAATTCTCTGCATATTTTTGACAAAATCCTGTCAGTATATAAATCTTGATTATATGAAGAATTGATTATGATCAGTACCTGTTCTTTTGCCTGTCATTAAACTCATTTAGGTAATCAAATGCAGTAGTACTGCACGAGAATACCAGATTGATTTGGATATACGCGAAACCATAAGCATTTAGTGTATTTTCTCTTTATAACTGCTTAAACATCAATTAGTTGGGTTATGATGTCAATTTCTAGTTTCTTGATTTCAGTAATCTTCATATGTGAATATGAACAATCTCTTGGTACATATGTCGTGAACTTGATATCCTTGCTTCACATTTCAGCATTCAGCATTGTGGTCTCTATCAAAACCATGAATTCTTTAAGTGTAACTTATAGGAATCAATATTCTGTGGGCTGATTTGGAAAAGGGATTTGACCATTAGAAATTAGCTTTAATATTACTTTTGGTTATACTTGATATACACTTTCAGTTTATAATGCGTAATAATTAAAATATTTGGAGATTGGTATTCAAGAAATGTGGCAATTTGAATGTATGCTCCTCTTCAATACGTTTTTTTATGCGCAACATTTATTTCTGTTGTTGCAGAACCAAACTTTGTGGAGTGTGGACAAAGAAAAGAGACGTATCTGTCCCATAGCTCTTTGCAACTGCTACAACTAGACGAGGTGAAAGCACTTTCTTCTCTCTTGTTTTTGTGATGTACGAATATGTATTGAACTTATCTCGCACAAGAAATTCACAAACCAACTTGCTGCTTTGCATATCTCTTTGATTGCTCGGTGCGCAATTGCATCATTTGGTGTTTTCGATATAGTTATAAAGGGGAAACTAGTCTTGTTTGTTTGCCTTCCACCGTAACGGTCCTTTTTTACTTGGTTGGTTCGATGTGTTTACATTCGTACCTGTTTGCATGGCTGGCTATCAAATGACATTATAGAATTAACATCCACGTTTTCACCTTCATTGTGATGTTTGGGATGACCGGATTTGGGCATGTTCTACATTTTCATTTAGAGCACCATGCATATGTAACATCTAAGTTTTAAAGCGTTTTGTGAATTTTTGGGAGCCTGGTTTTTCGCTGTTATGTAGGAAGTTTGTGGGTTGGAGCACCATGCATACGTATGCCATATTTATGTTGAAAACTGTCGTTCCCGACATTTGCCTCCTGTTATTCTCGACAGTTGGTTGAACCCCGACAGATGAACTATCGTTCCCGACAGTTAGCTGCGGGCATTCTCGACAGATGACGTATGCCACTGTAAGGTAGAGTGCAGTCATCTGTCAACACAGGTTTCGGTAACAGTGTCTCGACAAATGACGTTGGGCACAGACGACACTGCACGTGCGTCGAGAAACAACATGTCTGTTGAACATTCAGATGTCATTACCCATGTATTTTTGCACATTAGAAAAATTTTTGCTAACATTTTATTTTGCTTAATATTGCAAGCGCAATTTGCCATAATAAATGTTTACGGCAACTTCGGGTAGATGATATGTTCTTATACGTTTTCTGTATTACTTGTTCCAATTGATGTTCTTATAGTCTAACCATTATCGTTTCATCTGCAGATATTATGGATTTTCAATTTCTGGTGCCCGAGAATGTACGGTTGCCGGCGCGTATCTCGCAACGGAGCAACTTGAAGTACATAAAAACAGTGATGGATAACTTCGACGACCGACTTCGGGCTGACTTTCGCGACTCCTGCCTTGGGTTTCTCGTTGACGTTCTGGAGATCCAGTTTTCCGCTCAGCTGATCCAGGCATTGGTGTGCCGAGGGATCCGTTGTGATAAGTCCTATGAGTTGTGGTTCAACGTGTAGGGCCACCTTACCAGGTTTGGACTGCAGGAGTATGCTATCGTCACTGGACTGCATGCTGGGTCGTTTCCGGAGGGCGATCGATACACAAAGGCATTGGAGAAGAGGAGGTTGAAGGAAAAATATTTCAAATCGCTGGAGAAGATTTCATGTACCCAGCTGGAGAAGGCCTTTCTCCGCGCGTCGACACCCCGGGCAGATAGATACAAGCTCGGGCTTGCTCTAATTGTGGAAGGAGTTATCACTGCTCCGGACAATAATGTCGGCATTGATGAGGATACGCTTGCCATCGTTGACGACCTGGAGCTGTTTTTTGCGTACCCCTGGGCGAAAGTGGGGTATAGGCGTTTGTTGAAAGGATTTCGAGGTACTTGGGCACATAAAATGAGCGATACGAAGATGAAGAACGAGAAGGACGTCAGTTACATAATTCACGGATTTTCGATCGTCATGCAGGTACGAACAACATTAT